TGTGATTAATGCAACTCTTGCGATAATACTTTGCGGCTGGCAATTCTCTCTATATGAGAAAAGCTTGAGGCGATATAACTGCGCTGGCCAGACGGTATACGGATATTGTCATGGTTTACTATGGGCAGCGTCAGGTTATGACCTCGGGTGTTGCGACACACAACTAGCGTCTCGAATCGTAGCTAATGTTTTGCGTTTAAGGTCGAACATTGTTTTCGTAAGCAACAAAACCTGGACTGAGGCACTCGTCCACTACAGCTTGAGGTTTTGTCATCCATCGGACAGTGACCCCGTCTTTCTATGATGTCAACCATCAAATCAGAGATGAGATGGCTGCCCAAATCAACCGAATCGCTATTCTGGACCAGCCCTGCCATATCGCCAAATGCAAACGAGGCCAGAACCAGCCAGTTTATTATCACTGCGGTGTGACAAGGTCTCTCTTCGGTCTTTCAGTGCGTACCAAGCATCGGTAGATATCGTGAATGATTATTATGATCGACATACTAGTCGAATCTCTCCTGACTGAGGGTTTGCCTGACGAAGATGTTTCAAACTGGCAAGATTCCACACCCGTCCATTTTGGAGATATATGAAGGTGCTGGTGATCAGCATGAAGAATAAACTAGGACCTCGGAAGGTAGATAACGGTGGACGGCACGTTGTCATGGCCTGGAGGCGACAGTGGCGGCGGCGGCAAGCAGGGCCAACCTGTATCTTAGGGGCGAAAACTGTCAGAGAAGGGCCGAGAGATTCGCATTCAATGTGGGAAGGTTGGTTTTGCAGTTGTGTGTCCTGTCAAGCGTGGCTTGGCATCTAACTGTGTTGTCTCCGCATGCGCCATCCTTCTCGCCAGCTGCGAATCCACCTGGATGGTCTGACGCCGAAGAGACCGTGAGATGCCAGCCGACACTACATGCCAAATAGAGCTGCAGATATAGGGGGTAATTATAAAATCGGCGAAACCAAAGCATCTCGCATCTCGGAATGACACCCCAGCTTCTACTGCCTGTCACACTTCCCGCAAGAAAGGTGCTCGGCCGGTCCCACGGGATCCGGCACAGAGTGGGGCCCTGTGACTGTGGGATGTTGGACGGGACCAACTACCGGATCAGAGACCGTCGCGTCCAAGAGGACTAGGTACTGAAGGTCTCAGGCGCAGTTAATGCTAGTCACTATTGCTAACTCAGTCGTCTGTGTCCAGGCAAGTTCGTGTCCAGGCAGGTCCGTGTCCAGGCAGGTCCGTACCTATCCAGGCAGGTTCGTGTCCTGACAGTTTGCTGTTCAGGCAGGTTCTTCGCTGGCAGGTTCATGTCCTGGCAGGTTCATTTCATGGCAGGTTCGTGCCCTGGCAGGTTCACGTCCTGGCAGTGCATTCCCCGGCAGGTTCATGTCTTGGCAGCTTCAGCGTGGGGAAAGATCGGCTTTGCGCAGATGGTTTTGGGCAGGCACCTTCGTGAGTGCATTCATCTTTTGGCAGGTTCTTCGTCACTGTTGGCATGTTGTGCGTCAATGTTGGCAGGTGCGCCATCACCTTCGGCAGGTTCATCCCCAGGTACGTCCGTGTGGGGCAGGCTGGCCGTGTCTGGATTTGACTGGCGGACGCGACTCAGCGTACGCAACTATTACAGGTGGTTCGTGGGCTTGCTGGCAGGCAGCATTTGCGCAGTGTGGGAATTCGTGCGTCGGCTGTCAGGCGTGTCTTCCAAGTTTGCGGTCGAGCGGTCGAGCGGTCCATCATGCCGCTCCCCAGCATCTGTTCATGGGAGTTACTCGGCAGCTGCATTTTCTATCCCTTTGAGGCGAGAGGTGGGGGAAGCGAAGAAAATGAAGGTTTGCACGACAACTTACGTAAGATGTCGTGCACACAACTGATCGCAGACCCACCCGACAGCCAGGACAGCAGCCACGCCGCCCGGGCTCAGTCTAAAATATTGCGGCGACGTTGGACGAGCATTGCAGCCGGCGCCTTAAGGCAGTCGCATTGATTAATTCTGAAGTGCAGCGTGAATGCGAGATTGAAAACGGGAATACATCGTGCAGTGAGTCTAGTGCATTGCAACACTGCGACTGTCCAGCCATGGCTGCGACCGACCTAAGGGACTTGGTGAATCAAATGCCGCATAAAATCCACATCAGGAAACAGCCCCTCAGACATAGCGCAACTCATGCGCTCCACCAACTCTAGTCAGTCATATCAGTTGTGTGGAAGACAACCTGTGCACCCAGCTCGAAGGTCGAGAAATCTCCGACCCCAATTGGCCACACAAGCTCGTCTAGTGGAGCCATTAGCCTGATGTCCCTTAAGGGAGGCGTTCACCTCAATCACGCCTCCATCCGTTGCGCCGCCAAACCTTCGGCAAATCTTCGAGACTCCCACACCCGACTCAAAATGCATCTGCCGTCCATTGCATCCGACACGCCCAACCAGGTCGGACGAAGCTGCGATGCAATCCAGTAATGCGTACGATGCGCACATCAACACTGTCTTGGGAATACGCTTGTGTCAATTCCCGCCCGGGGTACGTCTCCCTGAGTCGCTCCGTTTTCTCCTCCTCTTCTTCTTCCTCTCCTCGAGCTATACAGGCACAGGTATTTACGTTGGACGTTGCTCTCCCTTCTGTCACTAACGGCAAGCTCTCATTTTATGTCGCTCGTTTTCTGTCGGTCGGTCCTTATTCTCCCTGTGCGGCATCTGCCAGGGGCTCCCCGATGTCACAACGCCGGGCCGCCACCGCATCGAGTTCGAGCCGAACACCAAGCACTAGCTGTCTCAGCGGCGACAAATCATGAGTTTCTACGTCGATTGCAACAGCGAACGCCCAGACATCCCCGGCGCAAATGCCTACATAAGAAACTCCCTCGTCAACAGCAGAGACCCGATCAAGCGCCACTCGCCAGCCCAGCCCCATCAGTCTCTCGTGGTCCAACCCCTCAGTCCGCCCCGCGTGTCGGCACACTGGAAATGTCACCTCCTGCACCCCGCATCTTTTCCGCGACCCCTCCCCGCCGAAGCCCCATTCCTGGCCGTCGTTTGAAGCCTCCAAGCTTGCTGAGCCGGTCGACTCTTCCATGCCGCCGCCAGAAGCTCCCCAGCGCCCCGCTGAGCAGTCCGTGGCCGACCCGACCTACCGCCCGCCGCGCGCCGAGCGTGCCCGCTACGAGCCAGGCCCGTGGACTGCGACTCCGATTCGGAGCCTCAACCAAAGCCCGAGGCCGGCCGTCATGCTCCAGCTCCTTCGGACGACAATTTCCTCTCTGTCAACGACGGCTTCGGTGTCACTGTGGATGACAATACTTTTCGGTCGCGCGGTATCCCGACGCCAGGCCCGCGGCAGGCCATCGGCCACACGAAGGCTCTTATCCATGGAGACACAGCTCGTGGGGCGCTGTGAATCAAAAGTGGACAGTGACTTTTTGCCGCCCCGGGCTGGCTTGGCCGTATCGGTCATTGCAGCCCAAGGGCGAATGGGATGGGGCCTTGGAAACTGCCTCGACGTGATCATGGCCTTTCGTGCGGCGGTGCGGACGGTTCTTCCAGTGACGGATACCTTATTGGACGCTTGGGGCGGGCAAGTGGTCCAGACTCGCCAAAAAAAGAAGCAAGACCATTCGGTCGCAATCAACTTCTCAAGTGCACGTTCCACCACCCATAGCAAGTGATGAAGACGCACGCCAGCCAACCTGCCTACCTGCCTGAACACCTTCTACCAAATTAAAATGATACAACCAACCATTCTCCCGAACCTCCACTTGTCTGCTCTGGTTCAAACACCAACCCAAACAGGTTCCGACCTCCGAGCTGCAGAGGATGAGAGGAATCAAATAGGGACAGACAGTTCTTGATGGGAGACGACACTGGGAGAAGCACGTTTTCGCAGTTAGTGGAATGATCGACGGGTAATGTACGTAGCATACATTACGACATTGCGAAGCACGGCTCCCCACCTGACTGGAGGGGAAACATCTAGAGAAGGGTTTGGTGTGGGCAAACAATGTTGCAACTGCAGGCCAGAAATCGTGAGGGATTGCAATCCTAACCTGGTAGACGGGCTCTGGAGCTTCGTCGGCATACTTGGCCGAATCCCACACCTCATGCCATCCAGTCCGACTGATCAACCTGGGTGGGATCTCTGAGTGATAGCCGTGGCGACGGAGTGCTGAGTAGTTCGCACTTCCTCCATCCAATTAACAAGAGTATTTTCCCATAATCACGAAGCGGCCCCTCGGAGATGCTGCTGGTTGCGAGAACGGGAAAAGCGAGCCTTTCCTCTTGGACAACTGAAACAGTAATGGTCTTCCCGCGACTGGACCGTCTGGCATGGCGGGTTGAAGCGATGAGTCAAATTGACGATGATTACTGTCCGGAAGTGGGGGATGGGTCTGCGTCTGGTGAGCGTGGTGAAAACGCTGCGGATGAGCATGCACGCCGCGGGAAGCAAGATGCGGAGGGATACAGTGCACGCAAGGTGAGGTAGGTCTTCCCCTAAAGACACAAGATGCTACCTAGGTATGGAAATGTGTCGCGGTGCAGACGGGAGGTTTTGTGGGACTTCCCATTGGTGCGCTTGCCACTGAAGGCAGCCCCGGGACAAAGCTGACAGCACCCAGGTGCCAACCGCCCACGTGGGAGGACCCCCGACACTGCACCTTCCCCCGCGAATCCCCCCCACCACCGATTCAAACCACCTGCCGAAGTTGGCGCCGCCAGACAACCTCCTGCCTTCATCACCGCCTGCCCGGTTGTGGTAATATCACAGGCAACCGGCGGCCCCTTCTACTTTTGCTTCTTCCTCAGAAGGAAGTCAGCCTGTTCGTCCGCCTTAACTCTGGGACGGTTCAGACTCTGCCACGCCCCTGCTGCGCCAACAGCGCAGAACAAACAGTCGTAGCCAACGAGGCAAGCTTTGTTCCCTTCCCCTTCCAGCCCGTCTCGCCGCTAATGTTTATGCTGCAACAAAGGCCCTGTAACCTGTCCACCCCCACCACGCGCCACGACGATGCCAATCACGTCGGTGTCAGCGTCTCTACCGCTGGAGACGGAAAAAGCAATCCGGGCCTGCTTGGAAGTTGCTCTCCGACTGTCCTCCGATGACGTCTTTGCAGCAGCCGACCGCATCGAAAAATACCGCCTCGAGCCCGCAGCCTTCCCCGTCCTTCTCAGACGCCTCGAGACCGACCCTCGCATTTCCCTCCCACGGCTCCATCTCAAGTACGGCTCGAAGGCCAGTTCCGTGTCTTTTGAGATGCCACAGAGCCCCCTCGACCCCATCGTCGCCCGGCTCTTCAGTCATACCGCCTCGAGCGTTGCCGGTGACATCATACCCAAAGTCCAGCAATTCCGCAACCACTTTGTATCGCTGCCCCCGCCGCAGTCAGATCCAGACGCATGTGAATACGGCAGCGTCAGGCGCTACACGGACGTCGCCTGGTATGCAAACGGCAAGAACAGCACCGACTTTCCGTGCGTCGTTTCCACGATCTCCTCCACACAATCGTCCAGCTTTGAGGAGCTGCAGAAGAAGTGCATCGGATTCGTCTCGCTCTCCGAAATCCACATCGGCGCCATCGTTGCGATGAAGATTCAGCTTGATTGCAAAGCCCCGAAAAACTCGGTGGAACGCCCCCTCTACGAGTGCAGAGTGGCCCTACATGTCTGGACCTTGGGCAATGCAGACTTCACCGGTCCGTTGGATTCGACGCCCAACACTATGCTTGACGAAAGCATCTCTTGGCGCCCGTGGCATTTCGCAAAGTACATACTGGGGGAGAGGTACGTCGCTATGCACTCGTCTAGCCAGTCTCGCATACCATGACTTCCCCAGCTAACCGCTCACCAATGGGGTGCCAGGCCCGACTACATCCGAGTCCGGTTTGGTGACATCGAATACTTACTCGAGACAGCTATTCAGACCGCCCACCGAGTCCCAAGTCTCTGAGCTACGCCCCCTGCGAGGACACCAAGAATTCTCGATCGAGACAAACCCTGGTCGCACGAAGTGAGTGGACTACTCAGGATATTCAATGATCGGATCGTCAGGGAGGATGGGTACAATGTTTGGGTTCTCTGCAAGATGGTGACAATGGAGACTTGGGCTGCCAGTCGCCACTAAAGAGTGGACTAACTGGCAGTGGTTGGCTGCCACAGAAGATGAGTCGGCACCAAGCTGATGATGCCATGAGGTGGAGTCGCAGCCAACAGTCACTGTGCCGTCTCAAGGCCAGCAGATCGCAAACTGGCTGCCGCGAAAGTAGGGGACGAACAGATGGGGATGTACATGTACAGCAAAACCAACATGCAAAAATGCAAAACATACAACACCGGGCATTCGCCGGTCGTCACCGACCCGACTACTACTCCAGCCCTCACTGGCTTATCTATGGGAGAGCGGACGGGATCCCGAGTTCTCCAGTGGGTATGGTCGTATGTGGTGTTCCAATGGAGGTTAACTGTCTATAGTGGCTAGGGTTAACTCACGTCGAACACTAACATGGCTCTAAGCTGCCGTCTTGCTGACCTGTTGTCTGCCTTTGCTTTCCTACCAAGATGCCTTGATTTTCAAGTTTCCCTTCAAAAGACAAGGCTTTTGATGCGTGATGTTCGCCTTCGTGCCAATTGTCCTTTCATGCTCTGTAGGTTAGCCAACCACTCTCAACCGGAGAGATAGCGCCTGGAACCGAAGCTTGTCTGACGTTGGGATGTCCCGAATGTGGGTACCGTTTGAGGGTCTCGGAGGCGGTCAAAATAGCCATTTCTAGCCTAACATGTTTCCTTCAGCGATGCTTCCACGCTGCCTGATGTCACTGGCCGAGAACTTGTTGTCAAGTCACCCAAGTTGTCTGACATGTCACTGACCCGAGAGCCGATGATTACGCGCCTCCGGACAACCTCGAATCCTCCGAAGCAGCTTGTGTGCGCTAGGGTGCCCGCCTTCCAAGTTCGCGCCGTAGATTGGAACATGTACTCTCGGTATCTTAGGATGACCATGTTACTTTCTTTGAACAATCATTTGAACGGTGCCAATCGAAGGAACGTGAACACCGCTGGGGTTGTTTTGCTCACATTCTGACCCATCCCATTACCCCCACCTGTGCCGTTATTGCAAGTCTATGGGCCAGAGGCGTAAGAAAAGCTGGTCGGATCCATTCCCGTCCCATGAATAGTTTGCGACCCGTCGATTGACTATGTCAAGCACACCTCCTGGCCAAAGCTGCTCAATATCTTCCAATGATGGTGGTGCTGGTTTTGAATTAACAACCGGTCCAGGGGCTTTTCAAATACTTGGAATACTGCGGGTTTACTGATTTTACTTCAACGCTAGTTTATTGAATGATCCTACGTGAAAATGCAGAATGAACATCGTGCTTTTCTATGTACTGCAGCCCAAGCAAGAGCCTGGAATTTTCGGTATAATATTCTTTGGTGTTCTCGAATACTTTGTCGATGTGATTGGACTTCTTGTACCTGTGAATCTGGCCCTAGTCTAGTTGCTACCCATTGTTCTTGGCGGAAAGGATACCTCACATGATTGAAACTCTACGTCGTTCCGACCACACGGAAACAAGCGCCTTGCGGTGACATATGCAGACGAGCTGGTTCGTTGCGATTCATAATACAGCCTGTCGAACCCTCGTGATGACGTATGCTGCATTGTAGGATTAAATGTCCCAGTCTACACAGTCAAATCTCGAACAGGTAGGGTAAGGCCTGATTGCATCCTGTCATGCCATTTGACCAGAGTGGATACAAGCAGTTTGCGCGGGACGCCTTGAGTTTGGGTGCTGAAACTGCGTATCACCGCCTGTTAGATCCTCAGCGTTAGTTCAACAATCTTCTTAATCTTTGCTGAAGCATGTTCGATGCTCTTCTCAAAGAACACAACCTGGTCGCACTCATTGGCATCGAGTTAGCATCGAGTTAAAGGCAGTTGTGACTGTACCTGCTTGCGTCATCTGGATTCAACGAGTCGACATCTCGCGCGTAACACGACTTTATTTTAGTTCTCGCGCTCTTTTAAGGAATGCGATGTCGGTGGCACGAGTGCATCCTCCCTTCATGTTATCTCTGCTACCTCCTATCATGCCCACTTAAATACCATTACTTGGAAATGATCTGCTCTTGGTCTATCTTCAGACGACATAAGGGCGACACAACGGAATGGAACGATGATATTGCCTTGATGGATGATCGGGGTTAAGCCTGCGCTTGTTCGTGCTGGCTTCCCAAATGATTTGGGTATATAGACGCGCACATAGCCCACGAGCTATGAGTATGTGACCGGCACTCGAATGGAGTTCGGGCTCAAGGCGACGAATGAAGAATATTATAAGCTATGGCTCTGCTAGCTTCAGCGTTGACCTCAGCTACGAAATCCAACTGCCAGCGGTGGAATCACCCTAGGGAGGAAGACAACTACATGTGTCCCGAGTGACGAGTGTGAGTCGAGTCAAATGAAAAAGGGTTGGGCACTTGGTCTCCTCCGCGGCTCATCAAGATCTTTCGATAAACCTCGCTGAAAGAGGTCCCATCATCCTCATGAGAAGGCGGAGCTGAAGACAGCTTACTATGGAAGGTAAGACTTCGGATTTTCTCAAACACGGTGGTAGTCGCAGTCGCCCATTGTTTCGGTCTTCATACAATTGCTACCGACGAGTCCGTCAAGATATCATCAGGACGAGCAATGATCACGAGGATGTAGAAGGCCAAGGTGAAAATGGCGGTGCTTGTGTTGTTGTCTGGGCAGAGCCGAAGCGGCGTAATAGGTATCGCAACGGCAAAGTGCCAATACATCGTACTTGGCCATCCGAGAGGTCGCCACTCATTTCAATTACAGTGTAGTAGCAGTAGCCAGAGCTAGCCACACAAGAACGTTTTCTCTGACCATTAAAACTTCAAAGACGGTGTCAGCATTCTGTTGAATGCTTTGACCGACTGCGAAAGTCATACCAAAGCAATTTATGGGTTAAGCACGCGGAAGCAAGTCGACAGAATGAAAATGACAACGTGGTTCCAAGCAGGGATATAACGGCCTGGTAGCAACAAAGCAGCCGGATCACACTGAGAGATGTTGTAAGGGGCCACGAAGGAGAGTCCCTTTGCATGTTGCGCCGAATTCCTCAGCTCATATTGAGGGAGACTGCAGCTGAAGGTGAGTTGGAGCTGCTAGATACCTGCCGATTAGGGTTGACTCTTATAGGTATAACATGCGGAAGTTCAACAATGTCGTCAACACAACGACGGCGAAAAGAACTATTAAGGACTTACTATATAGCGACTTAATAGGCTATCTAGGTTTCATAGAATTTGATACTTCTTTCTGCCTCCAGGATAGAATACCAAGAGAGTACACACACTACTAGGTATACAGCGCTGTTTGGTGTACCTAGCTGGTTGAACTATTTAGGATTAGGCCTACGGCCTATATGCAAATGAAGACATTAAGAAAGGACGGCGAATGTTGGGAAGCGAGGATAAGACGGATGGCAAGGTCAACCTAAACTATAAATGGTGTAGTAGGGTATTAAATTCACTAAAGAATCTAATATATTGACTTATAAAGCCTCTATTAGCTTGAATTATGCGTCCTCTGTCTGACATACCTTGGGACTTAATTGTAAGACAACTGGATGGGTTATGAATGGTTTGTCCATGAGAGGAAAGATTCGAGTATATTGATGAAAAGACGCATGTATACCTCAGCTCGCGATATGTCGATCGCAAAGACCCTCCATTGATGGCTGGAACGGGCCTCAGACCGTACGACAGTGTGACATGCTCGCTAGGGGTTGGAGCTGATTGCTGCGTCGCTCGTCCGTGACAACATTGAGACACTGTAACAGCATCCTGAGGTCTGTATTTTAGTTTGAATCTGGGCGACACGTGGTGTAGATGTACTTTGGAAAGTCTCTCTGAGAAGGCCCAGGCTTAGGTCTGGTTTGATCCTAGAGTGGCGCTAGTATGGGGGATGCTATTAACTTAGACATATGAGGAAACGGCAGTTGCATATCGATATTGGCCGCAGTGACTGGCCTCCTACAGGACATCTCTCTAATGTAAGAGGATGGGAGAATCCAACTATACAAGACCCCATATGCTTTACGCAAGCTTCATATGAAGGCGCTGTGATGCGTTGCAGAATGACTGTGTGTTAAGACACCCAGTATATGGGTCAATCCACAAGGACTCATGTCAAAGCCAAGATCTTCTAGGCAATTTCGCATTGTCAAGATGAGGGGAAGGAACTGCGAAAAGCCGCATAGGTGACCTTTTAAGATTGAGTTGAAAATGATGCGAAAGCTGCTGATTGAGTTGGAAGTAGTAAAAACAGTAATTTTCAAATAGCATGAAAGATAGATCGTATGAAAATTGCTGACTTGAAGATCAGTGCTTGTGCAGCAGAAAACTACTTGCATAGAAAATGGCACACGTACAAAGGGTCCGTACTTATATAAGAATTGTTCCATACTTATGCAGGTACTTTTCCAATATCCTGTAACTATGCAGAACGTTCCCTGTTCTTGGCTGGCACCTTCTCTCTAGCTCTACGCTAGTAAATCTGTCTTTCACCCTTAGGCATCTACCTCTCAGCAAGTAATACTAAAGATGTCTTTAACCCTAGGATATTCCTGTCACGGTCTATGGACCGATATGAAGCTTCGGCTAGACCCTCAGCTATGGAATACTTTGGAAGGTTACAGAATATCGTGGAAGGTTATGAGAACCTTGTCGGCCCTTACTCAATGGAAGCTTCTGGAAGAAGACTCACA